ACTCAACACTGGTGAGGGCTGCACCTCAAGTACTGTGTTCAGTTTTGGGCCTCTCACTACAAGGACACGGAGCTGCTGGAGTGAGTCCAGAGAAGGGCAATGAAGCTGGTGAAGGGTCTGGAGTACAAGTCTTACAAGGAGTGTCTGAGGGAACTGGGGTTGTTCAGCATGGAGAAAAGGAGGCTGATGGGAGAGACCTTATCCCTGAAAGGAGGTTTTAGTAAGGAGGGGGTTGGTCTCTTCTCCCAGGTAACAAGTAATAGGACAAGAGGAAATGGGGCTCAAGTTGCTTCAGGGGAGGTTTAAATTGGATATTAGAAAAAAATGTATTCACTGAAAGAGTAATTAAACACTGGAATAGGCTGCCCTGGGAGGTAGCTGAATCACCATCCCTGGAAGTGTTTAAAAGACGTTTAGATGTGCTGCTTAGGAATATGGTTCAGCACTGGACTCAGTAGAATTAGATTAATCATTGGTAGAGGTAGGTTATGTTATGTTTGGACTCGATGATCTAAAAGGTCTTCTCCAACCAGGACAATTCTGTGATTCTATTTGTATAGAATACAATCATAAACTTCAATTATATTAACATCAAAAGGATACAAAAAAAATCATCTTCAAAGTACCTGCAGGTGACTCATTTAATGTCAACCCCTCTGCATCAATTGTTACATGGACAAATAATAGGGAAATCCTGACAAAAAGTGCTCAGAGAACCTGAAAAAAATCTCATACAGAAGTCAGGATTTAAAAACCCACTTCTTTAATTTAACCATTTTCCTTGAAGAATCTCTTCTGTTGGTAAGTATAAAAAACTTCCAAAAATAAAAGATTTTTAATTATTTAGTAGGTTTTTCACTCTTGTCACTCTCATTTTAAAAGTCCTTATTCTTACTACAAGTACATATTAAATGTTTTCAGCCACAAAGAGCTGACTGGAATCAGTATTTAGTGATTACATTCTCCCAAATATAGAATTTGGTGCATTTAGAACAGTCCCCGAAATTAATTGCAAAAGGCACACTGTAAACATTGAGTGCCATTGAGCACAGAAGTTACACAGACACTATTCTAAACCAACTCAAATGTAGTATAATTGTTTATTTTGGGACCTACTCCTACAAATCTACTGAATACAATGTAACAACAAGCTAAAGCATAAGACAAAGCAAGACAGTACAATAAACTGGCTTGCAGTTAGAAAGATGGCAGCAGTGGGCAGAAGCAGCTCCAGGGATCTGGGACGGAGCTGTTCTCCCTCCTGCTTCTGTGATGCAGCCCCACCAGCAGCAGTTCCTGGGTGTCCAGTGCAGCACCCAGCCCCTCTCTGCAATGCCAGGTAGAGCCTTTCTCAGCGCTACGGCCCACAGGAGAACCACACACATTTTCCAGGCAGGTGTCACATGATCAGAAGGGCTGGATCTACAAGGCGGGAGCATGGCCTACGTAAAAGGACTCAAGGAGCGTCCAAAAAAGGCAGAGGTCTATGAAACTTCAGATAGGCATGATCACACTGCAGTAGAAAGTCTGGGAAGACATATGCATAAGAGGAAAAAAAACAAACAACAAACAAACTAACCCCCCAGATTCTTGTCACATGCTGTTTTTGGTAAATACGAAATCTCTGCTCCAGAAATATGGTATTAACAGAATGTTCTGGATAAAGCCTTCCCTGATGGCAAGGGCCAGCATAAATCACTATAGGATTCCCAACTCAAACGCAGAGAGGTTGAGAGTCAGACAGGGATATGAAAAAAATACAATAAGCAGGTGTAAACCACTGCATGAGGGCAGGGCCAAAAATGAAGGATCCAAGTGGGAATTTCAGTGGAGCTTCAAAGGGAGCTGGGGCAAAAAGAGAAGTCCATCCTATAAAGGAAAACTGAAAAAGAAGGAGCACTGGGAGCCAAAAAAAGGCTTAAAGGAAGAGGGTCAGCCCAGGCATCCCTAATCTCACTGTTTCTCCACTATCAGCAAAGATCCAACAAACCCAGAGGCAAAGTACACAATTTATCAGTTTACTCTGGAGTCCTTACAACTCCTGAGTATGGATTTTTGGATGCATTTAAAAAAAATAAATTAAAAACCAACCAAACAAAACCCCAACAGCATCCACACACAAAAAAACCACCCACAACTTTCTTTTGCCTTTGTAATATAAGAAGAACCTTGAGAGAGATGAAAGCAGACCCCACAAAAGGTCCATGCCCTGGTGAACCTTGATGGCTACTGTAGCTTTGGTAAGGACTTCACCTATCTTCCATTAGGTACTTGTGACACTGGTAATTTATTTTCCACAATCCAAAAGGAAGGACTGAAAAAATGGGAGAAGCTCCAAGAATACAGGCATTTGAAAAAAGGGCTTGACAGACCTCAGCATATCTCTGCAAGAGGTGATGGGGTACAGGTTGGTACCTCTAATTGACTCCTGCTTTTGACGTCTCACACAGATACACTGTGAATCTGTGGCTCTGCATCTTTCTTACTCAGTATCCACCCTGAAAAATATTTTTAAACTGCATTTCTTCCCTTGGTTCAATTTCTTCCTTTTTTCCAGCTCTTCAGCAATTTCCATGTTTTTTAGGTTGCTGAGTACTGCCAAGTCCAAACATTTTCTCTAAGTGGCATGTATGCACATGAATATTTGTACCTGAGAATAAAGGCTCCATATACTGGTTGTGGATGATTCACCATGGTCTTGTTGAGCACTGATACTAAGCAGATAGTTTGAAAACCACTGACTTAAATATTTAATTGTGAATTAGGCAATTAAAATGTCATGTCTCCTCTCTCGTTACCACAGCATGCTGCAGCTCATGTCATACAGCTTGATGCAGGTGCACAAAACAGCAGGGAGGAAAGCCTTCTGTTTTTCTAAAATGTAAAACCTCCAGGTTTGCATGTTGAAAGGCCAACAGGAAATGTAGGTCTCATCTGACTGACTACTCAATGCACCATCTGACTGCAGTTACTTTGATAGACAGGTCGATAACAACATTACCTGGGACCCCTCAAAAAATCATTGTCACCACTGGCCTACACTTACATCCTCACACTTCTGCCAGGAACCACACACAAGTTGACTGAGATTAACATAAATCAGCATGTGCAAATTGACTCAGACAGACATAATTTAGGTTCCAAGGCTGCTCCCAAGGCTCCTTTCTGCCACTCAGCACCTGCACACTGACTGCTCAGCAGCTGCCATGGCTCTTCTGCCTCAGCCTGTCCAGTACCATCAGCCTGCAACAGGAACAGCAGACTTATATCATCCTCCTTTTCTCTCTGTTCAGTACAGCTGCTCTAACAGGGGTGCACTGCTCTGCACTTACCAGTGAGAACAGTTTGTCAATTTTGCATATATGTGTATGTATATATATGTATGCACATACGCATTTAAACTTTTAATTCTACATCTGCTCTTCATCCTTGCATTGGAAGGAAGTCTGAAGGTCAGTTTTGGAGACGTCAACATTTTGACCTTCAAGCAGGAGGGGGTTCACAGCGCACCATGTGGCCAAGACAGCCCCTCTGTCACAGTCTGTTCCCCGCAGCACAGCCTTGACACCACCGGTAGTGAGTGAAGCACGCAAGGTTTCCTGTAGTGATGCAGTTCAATCAATCACACAGAATCATCCCGGTTGCGAAGGACCTTGAAGACCATCAAGTCCAGCCATAACCTAAATCCACCAACCATAACCTCATCTACCCGTTCAGTGCTTAAATCATGCTTAAACCGTACACACAGAAGACCTGTTTCATGTCAAGGCAGGGCATACACCTTAACAGCACAAATTCATAAAATTCAAACAAAGTGATCACTCTAACACTTATGTTGTTCATATAGACGAACACATGAATTAAAATTCAAATCAACAACGATACTTTGACTAGAGGCACATGAATTTCAGATTTGGAGGAGGAAAGGCAGCAAGTTATATTAGAATATTCAGTTCTCTGAAAAAGTCCATCAGCAGTTGTGCACTTTTTTTACCGCTGACTACTCAAAACGTTGCCACTGTCTGAACAGGCAGGCAGGAAGATACCGTGATGGCTGGCACACCTGCGATGAGGTATTCAAAAGTCATTCGCACCATTAGCCATGTAAGTTTAAGAGTCGTAAACACCCGGAGCCTGGGACTGACTGCATGAAAATGCCCTTTTAATGTGCTGCTCGGAAGTACAAGCTGACTTGAGCGCTTAACGCTGGAGCAGGCTTGACAAGACAAGTTGCACTAGATCACATAGGCAGAGCACATGATAAATTATCACCACGCTTAATTAGCCCGTGCGGAGGGGGGGGAAGGGAGCAACTAACAAACGCTTCTCACCTCGGGGGGCTGGCTCCTCACCTGCCCCCAGAGCGGCGGCCGCAGGTCCCCGCCGTCCGCGGGGCGGCAAGCGGGGCCAGGACCCC